CTTGACTGCAGCCTGCCTTTTAGGTATGAGCTTGGATTGCTGGGACAGTCAACCTCAGTCCTTTCCATGGGGCATTACAGTCCAGTTCCTCTGCCCTTGGGGGGCCTCCCCTGTCATGGACACCCCCAACCCCACCCCCACTTGACCCAGTTGGCTCTTGACTCAGAAGACTATACCTTGCTCTGCTCATAACCTTGCCCCATCTCACTCTCAATGACCTGAATTAATTTTCTCTCATAAAGCCACCTCTTTTTTAAGAGGAATAGCTGAAGTTCTTGTCTTTTCCCTCGTGCCTTTCTGCTTTGATCAGCTTCTTCCTACCAAGTCGCCTATAGCCCCCATCTTTAGCTGCAGTGTTTAAGTAGCCTCTTTGGTTTCTCAGAAAAGCTCAAAGTGCGTGGCTCCTCCCTTTTAGCTTCGGAACTGCATTTCTTTCCTTATTACTCAGTGTCCACACCCAGGGCGGTTGCCTGGATAAAAATCTGCCCCTTTCCCTAGTCACCTTTTCAGGCCAGACATAGGCACCAGTGAGGAATGGCTTTCTACCCAGGCCCAGTTAGAAGCTCTTAATTCCTCAGTGGCCTGAGCCTCAGATAGTCTGAGCCTCTGGATCCTAAGTCTGGTTTTTTCCTTCCCTTCTCATTCATCTGCTAAGTTTGTTTATTGGGCACCACTAAGCAAAGTTAATGATTATTCCTGTCTTTAGCCAGAAGGGGAGAAGTTCTCTCCTGTCATCACCCATTTCTGTGAGGTTTTCAAGGACCTGGACCCACTTCCCAGGTTTGGCTATCCAACGCAGTCAAGGGAGAACCAGGCTGCTCTCATCCCAGCTGACACTAAGCAGCTTTGTGACGTTGGATAAGACAGCTTCTCTTGGGAGGTTAGACTAGATAATTTCAACTCTTCCGGCTGGGAGATCATATGAGGCAAGGAAGAGGGGAAAGTACGTGACTTGACTGTACCTGTTCTGAGGGTTCAGGAGAAGTCCATTCCTCAGTGGGAGTGGAGGAAAGTAGGTGAGGACTTTGGTGGAATCTGCCAGCTCTGAGGAACCCACCTCACTGATGACTGGATGAATACCATATGGGAAATACCTCTATCAAAGCGATTCAGAATCCTGCTCATCATTCAGACTGGGCTTGTCAGGAATCAGGTTCGGTCCACTTAATTTCTTCTTCTCCTTAGAAAAGTATGATGATCTGGGAACCTAACCTAAATGAGCACGTCAGCATGTTTATGGGTCTTTGTGTGGTCATAGGATCTCTTATGCTATATCCAGCACGGTGGTGGTAGAAGAGCAAACCTAAGCTTTTCCAGGTATTACTGTGGAGTTGAGTTCTGCTTTGTGACCTTTTACCCCACCCTGGCTTACCAAAGGTCACCTGGCCTTGGCTACAAGGTTACCTAGCCCAGTGCCTGGCACATGTTAGGCACACAATAAATATTTGTTAAGTGAATGTTGTGCTGTTACCCTGGGTGTACTACTAGTCTTCTGTCCCTTCTCTTCGTCCTGGCTGGCTTTCTTTCTCCCTTTGGTCTTGTCTTAATTATGATACGTGAAAAGCTCCTTAAAACAAAACAAAAAAAACCCACTTGCAGAATTTTGAGAAGTTGGTCCTGAACAGTTAGGACATCTTCTGGGATCTAATATAAAATACCTGTACTTTGGCTTTACGTCCTTTCTGCCGTCTCATTATGTATGCATCTTAGGGGTCAAGGAAACTGATTTTCATAGCTCTTGGAGTTGCATATGTATGTAATGCTTTGTTTGAGGGAGTGGGGTGGGGTGGAGGATGGAAGACCGTCTCATTAAGGGAATGTCTCTAGTTTGGCATATTAAAAAATTGAGGGATTTGAACTGGGCATTAGGATGCACCGACTTGAGGAGGAAGACTGAAAATAGAAATCCTTTCGTGAGAAAGTACACATGAAACAACTTTTTGGAGATGGCTGGGCTTTGGATCATTCCCATGAAGTGCTCACCTTTCTGCTGAAACATCAGAAGACTTCTTTTCACTTTCCTTTGAATGAATACAGTTGCCAGTTTCTACCCCAGTTCCATCCCTTTGGAACAGGAAGCTGGGGCTAAAATGTTAAACGGCTCTCCTGTTAATTCCCCTCTCCTTTTATACACCCCTTATAGGTATCTCCCATCCCAGTTGTGTCCATTCCCCAACTGGGGAAACCCTGGCTGATAAGAAATTCTGTTTAGCTATTTTCAGGCTCCTGTAGGCAACAACAGGCTTAGAAAAAAAGCCTCCTTTCTAAACCCTTGCTTTTGCCTAACATCCCCTGGCTGCTGTCCCCACATGACCCGAATAAACATGATCATGTGAAGCCAGTAAGGCTGTTTGTTTTAAATAGCAAGCATCTCGACTAAGCTCTGGAGCAGATGGGGTATTGGGGGCAAGGGAGAGACTGGCATTTGACTCTGTTCACCCCACTTTTATCTCTTGCTTACCCACCCCTGACGGAAAAGGTGTCTTCAGAATGCTCCTTTTCAGAGGAGTGCCTTCTTAATGTAATAGAGCTGGTACCTGACAAAGAGAGTCAAAAATTGGGCTTCGACCTCTACAAGAGACTTCAGGACTATATGAGTGCTATGACCACTTGAGGAAAGCCGACGGTATAGCTGGATGGAGCTCTCCGAGCATCTTGGGCCACTGGACAGAATAGTACAGTCTGACCCCAAACAAAATGAAAACTTGGTCAACGTTATTTCAGGTCACTATTATGTATATTACATACACTGTTTAGCACCCCACCCCAACACACACACCTATGTATTGCCTTTAAACTTCTCATTTTCCTTGGTTGTGCAGTGGGCCAGGCCCAACCACACTAGTAGCAGGTGGCAGACATCTAAAAGGAAGCAATGTCAGGACCAGCACAGATCTCGCCCTCCCAAGAAAAGGGCATTTATTCCAGGGCACCTGGGCTACGTTGTTCCCACCCCCTCCCCCACCTTCCTTTCCAGCTCCATTGTAAGCAAAGCTAGTGGCACCTGGACGTGTGTAATGGCCTCTGCTCAGCTACAAACTCTGGGGCATTAAATGTGTAAAGATCAGATCCCTCTGTAGACTGCTGCTGGCAAACAACCCCCTTCCTTCTGTTCACTAGGTTCTTGATTTCCAAGATCTGTGCAGATTTTCTTTCCTTAGTATGCATTATGCCCTCAAAGGAAGGGAGCAAAGCCAGCAGGCATGCATTTGTACCGGCTTTCTGTGCCTCTAAGCTAGACCCCCAAATAGGAACATACCTAAGGGCACAGTGGGGATGGAATAGAATGGGATGGGATGAGATAGATTGGCAGGGTGGTCTGCCACTCAGCTGTCCTCATAAAGTTTTGCTTTGTAGCTTTGTGTGATGGTGAAGCCCAGGCTGCAGGACCCTGAACCCAGCTGGCATTGTCCCACTCTGAACTGGTAGCAAAAAGAATCCGAGGCTAGGCCCCGAGGGCCATAGGACTGCTGGCATTAGGCCAGCAGAGCTGTACATGCTCCAGGGTGCCACCAGAGTGCCTTCAGCCGGCCTTTGTGTCACCACCAACTGTACTGGTGGGGCTTGTGTGGCCTGCACCGAAGAAGAACAGCGGGGTTTCAGGTGAAGATTTTGGAGACCCTGACGACAGTAAGTGGGCAGACCACTTCCCATGCAGGCAGTTTGATATTCCCCCATGATTTTTTTCGAATTGGGTGCCCTGCCCCAGAACTGCCTTCAGAAGAGTCGTCCATGGGGTCAAGGATAAATACTCCTCCCTCCAGGGCATGCAGCAACTGGAATACTGAGTGACTTTAGACAAATCCTCTCCGGTCTCTGGGCCTCAGTTTCCTTATCTGCAAAATGAGAGAATTTGGGTACCCTGACAAAGGTCTAACTTTCTGATTGTACCCGCAGGCGCCCCCAAATACTAGCGCAAGAGCGGCGGCCAGCGAGCGCCAGCCGGGGGTCCCGCCGTCTTGGCGAGCGCCGTGGACACCAGGCTGAGCGTCCCGACCCCACGCCCCGCCCGCGGCCTCAGTGGCCCAGCGGCTGGCAGGGCCAGGCTTCCGCCCTCCACGTTGTTGTTCCCGATTTGGGCCCCGCCCCCTTGGTCTGGGCTTCGGACGCCTTGCCTCAACTGCCCCCGCCCCGGCCCCAGAGCAAAGGGTGGCCTGTGGGCCATCCACATTAGACACGCGTGGACAAAGACAAGAATTTGGGGGAAGAAAAGAGAGAGACTTGGTTTTGAAGGGAGAGTGGTGAAGGGTAATGGGTAGGCCAGGGCACAACTGCAGAATTTCCCTCTCGGCGTCCCACCCTCCGTTCTTACAGTGGACCCATCCGCACCCACGAATGTGACCGTGTTAGACACTGGCCCTTTAAACAGAAGGCTGGCGGCGCGGGGTGTCCATGTGGAGCTGCTCCATGCCGTGTTGTCCTGCCCGCCCATTGGCCCGCGGCCCGGTGACGTCGCCTAATAGGATGCGAACGCACTGCGGGGGGAGGAACGGAGGCAAAACGCGGAACCGGATCATCACTCCGCTCCCTCCGCTAGTCTCTGGCAGCCTCCTGCCGTCAGCTCCGCCCACGGGCGGATCCCGGGGGAATTGCGACAGCCGGGTGGTTGCAGGAATTAGGTCACGTGTGGGTAGGGAGCGGAGACCCAGGGGTCAGGTCAGTCTCTACCATCGTAAGGTTTCCCTGACCTGGAATATCCTTATTTGAGCTAACTTAAGTCTTAAAATTTTCCACCCTTCTTTTCCTTCAGCAGGACACACTTCGTTGTGAATGACCGCAACACGCAGCCCTTGCTCAACTTGTGGCTTCCCATCGGGGCGGGGCGAGGCGAGAAAGCGGAAATGCAGGGCGCGAGCGGGGCTGGATATTCTCCCACCCCCACCCAGGCCACGTGTGCGCGCGCCGTCTATAGTGGGCGGGGCCAGCCCGCTCGGGACCCCGCCCCTCCCTTCCTGAGACGCCGCGGCCCTGCGGGCGGGGGCTCCGGTCCGGGCTTTGGCTGCGGCCCCGGTGTAGTAGCGGGGGCGGCGGCCGGGGGCAGCGCGGCTCCTTCCCTTGTTGTGTGTGTCGGTGCCTCCTCGCCATCTTGTTGCAAAGCCTTTTCTTGTCGGCGGGACTCCCGGGGGCCGCGGGGCGGGAGGCATCAGAGGAGGAAAAAGAGAGGGAGGGGAAGGAGGGAGGCAGTGCCGCCTTTTGTTTTTTTGCATCACAATTTTTTTAATTTGTAAATTATATTTTGCAAATATTTTGGGAAACAATTTTTTCTCTCCGTGCTCTCCCGTTCTTCCCTGCGGAGTGCGCTGCGCCGCCCAGCCCTGTCGCCCCCCGGAGGTGATCCCTCCCTCCTGCCTGCCCGCCAGCCTGACCTGTGCCCGGCTCGCGGGCCGCAGTCTCGGCCCCGGCGCGCCCCCGGCAGCTCTCGGCGCGATGAGCATAGAGACGCTACTGGAGGCGGCCCGCTTCCTGGAATGGCAAGCGCAGCAACAACAGAGAGCACGTGGTGAGCGGCCGGGCTGGGCCCCTGGGGCACCGGGGAAGGGGAGACGAGCGACCCTGGTCTGTGAACCCACGCGAAACCGCGGGCAGGACCCCTTCCCGGGCGGCCTGCGAAGCCGAGCAGCGCAAGGTTCCTCACAGGAGCCGCCGCCCGGGGAGGAATGTTAGGGGCAGTAAAATTAATTAATGAATTCATTACCGTGCAGTGAGGGACCCGGCTCCTGTGGGCGCCACCTCAGCTGCCTGCCACCCCGTGTGCACCTTTCCTGGGGGCTCCTTTCGCGTGGGTCAGCGGCGTCCTCGGTAGCGCCGAGGATGTGTGAGTCGGTGGGGGGTGGGGTGTGGAATGGTGTTGCGTGGGGGTGGCAGACCCGCGTGTGCGTGCGTGTGTGCACGGGGGAATGTGTGATGTGAGCCTCGAAGAGAGCGGATGAACGGACGTGTACACGGGCGAGTGTATAGTGCACACGAGTGGGCGTGTGTGTAACGGAGTGGGGGGTGGGAATTACTCTACGCCGAGCAGCTCCCCGGCTTCCCTGGCCCTGTGGGGAGGGTGCGGGGGGCGCTCCCGGCCGATCTACGCGCCGCTTGGGGCGGAGGCGGCCTTTGCAGAATGAAATGACATCGCGTGTCTTATGATCCTGGCCAGCCCCGCCTGACCCCGCCTCCCAGAGCTGGGCTGGGTCGCGCTTCAGGGGTTTGGGTGAGAGCTGGGCTGATTGGGTGTCTGCGAAACGGCCCGCAGGTCGCTGGGGGCAGTCCCCGGGCCCCCCTTGCTGCGCCCCACTTTAGCCGGTGTGGAATGTGGCGTGTCTGCGCGTTCCAAACCCGCTCTCGGCTGGAATGTTGCGTGTGCCTGCGTTCCAAGCCCGTTGGTTACACCGGGTGGTGACGTGGACGGGCCCCGCCTCCGACCACGTGCACGGGGGACACTCCCGCTGGGGACAGAGCGGCCCGGCCCCTCCCAGCTGCCTCGCGCTCGGCCGGGGGCGGGGCCTGGGCGGGGCTGGCGAGTGGCCTTGCGCCGGGTTGGGCCCTGGCTCCGGCCGCCGGGCACCTCCCAGGGAGAGCCGCTGGAAGGAGGAGCCGCTGAGCTCACCTGTCCATTCTCGCCCCAACCTCCTGTTTTTGATCCTGGGGCGAGGGAAACCCTCAGAATCGCAGGGCGACAGGACATTTAGAGCTCACATATGCCCACTGACGTTTTGGGGAACGTTCTCACCAGGACCTCCTGGCAATACTCCTAGCCACATTGTGGAATGAGCCAGGCTGAGAAGGGGCAAACTTTGGCGTTCCCTCGGCAGGAAACGAGGATTTCAGATGCTTCCCATCCCACCCGCTCTGTCGGTGGTCCCCAGCTTCAGGGCGCTGCAGGAATAGGGGTTGGAGGCAAAGACCTCCGTTTTCCGGACCCTTGAGAGGGCCTCGGCCCTGGATCGGTGTGTGTGCAGTATCCGGGGACTCATGTCCCCTCCAACCTCCCCTCCCCTCCTTCTGCCGGGTTCGTTGTGGTGGAGAGAGTGCTTCGCCCTCCTTTCCTTTCTCTCTGCCTATTGTTGCTTCAATGATGAGTCATGCAGGAGGTAGTAGTGTGTGTTTTGTGCGCGCGCGCCCTGCAGCTTTTGCCGCGGCCGCGGCGGCGGAGGGGGTGGGGTGGGGGGGAGCGGCAGCGGGCCAGGGGCGGGGGGAGCGGCGGGTCCGCCCGGCCTAGTCACTGGTCGACCGGCCTCTCAAGGTCAGGAGTCCCTCGAGATCTTTGAGACTGAGATGCTTGGGTTTTACGGAATTGATGGGCCGGGACATCGGCCAGCGTGCCCCTCCCCCTTATCTTCTGGGTCCCGAGCAGGGTCAGGCCCTGGACAGTGATGGTGGTGACCGAGAATGTCCTGTTTGCGGGCGCAGCGAAGGGGCGAGGGGAGGGGGCTACGTGCACAAGAATTGGAGAGACTTGAGTCACCTGCTGCCACCAGCAGAGTGCAATTCAGGAGTACCTATTGTGTCCTTGCTGTGTATCAGGCACTGTGCTAAGAGGTGAACAGGGTTGATCCTGCTTTTTCCCCAAGGGAACAACCACTTCACCTTCACTTTACCCTCAGACTGATTGGTCTTATGGGGAAGGGGAGAAGATTCCCCAACTGTCATCTCCCCCACCCTTTCCAAAATATGAAGTCCAGAGCTGACAGTAAGAAGGACAGGGATGATGTGTGCAACACTGTGAAGAGCCTGGGAATGGTTCTCTCCTAAGAAGTTGCAGAGCTCTCCCCTCCCCCAGGTGGTGAGAACTGGGGGCAGGGAGCTGAGCAGAGAGGCCCAGTTTAACTGACCACTCACAGTTCCTTCTTGGTGGGGCTGGGGGATGGATGGTGCAAAGCCAGATCTACTCCAAAAGCTCACGTGCAGATGGCTAGACTTAGCCCCAGCACGTCAATCTCAAATTCATTTTTTCCCCTTCCTTGAGGTTCTGTCTTCTGACTTGGGGTGGGGACAGTGGGAGAGAAGGGGTCATGTGTGGACCTGCTGACCAGAACTGCTTTCCTGGGTATGTACCTGATGAACAGCTCTGAACAGGGATCCTCTTATCCATGTCCCCTTTCAGTTTCAAGGGTGGGTTTCCTGAGTTAGACCAGCCGGATTGTTCCCATGATGCGCCTGAGAATGTGTGCGCACATGTATGTGTGAGAGGGAAAAAGTGGTCAGCGGGAGGGCCTGGTCATTTCCAGCTGAATTCATGGAGGTGGCTCAAATGGACCCTCTTCTACCTGACCTAGTCACATCCTGGGGCCTGCCTTATGTACCAAGTTTCCTATTAGCCTGAAGAAGGGGAGAACTCCCCCTGAACACGGGGCTACCTAGTGTAGACTCCTCAGGCCCCAGCCCTGTGCCTGCTGTGGCCCCTGAATCACCCCAGACGTGTCATGCTAACTTCTCTGGGGCCAGCGTCGTGGGCATGTTTGCGAGCGGGAGAGGGAGTGCACCCCTGGGTGCCGCAGAGCATTATTTTACAGAGCCTGAATCTGTTCTGTTCCTGAGGGAGTCCCCTGAGTGACTGCCAGCTTGCTCCCCCCACTTTGTTTCCCCCTCCCCAGGGCATAGGAAGAGGGTCACTGCTGGGTGGGGAGGAGGCAGGAAGCCTTGGTGGGCTGCATCTGGCCTGGGACACCCCCTCTTCACCACCAGTCAAGGTTTTTCATGCTGATCCAGGTGTGATACAGCCTGGCCATTCACCTGGGTCCCTCCCGGCACCTGTGAGGCATGGCTGCCTGACTCTGGAAAAGAGAGGGTAGGTGAGGTTGCCATCTCCTGGATGAGCTGTGGGTTCCTTTAAAATATGGGGAATATGAGGTTTACTTTGTCTGGGTTCCCAGGGCACCTGTCTTTGGGGCTTGGGGCCCTCTCTGTCCCACTGCTAATGGGAGAGTGGAACCCTGGTCCCAAAGCCAATGGAAGTTTGGGTCCCGGCTCAAAGGAATGAAGGTGGGCTGTGTTGGGCCCTGGAGCTGAGGGGAAGGGGATGGGAAGGGGGGAGGGGGGAGCAGGGTAGGGGATGGACTAGGTAGCTGGTCGGTGGCCTTGCGCAGACCACTCTGCCCGCGGGGTCTCTGGGCAGCTGGAGGGCAGAGAGCTGGTTTTCTCTGGGGCTGTAACAGAAGCCAGTGCCGGCCGGAAGGGCCTGGGAGAGCGCTGCCATCATTGGAGCAGGCCTGGCAGCTCCCCTTCCTGAAGGGCAGGGGCTACGGAAGAGGCCTGTGCTGCTGGGAAACCACTGAGCGCTTCCCTCTCACGACACCGCTCGACTTCCTCCTTCGCCCCTGCGGGAGGGAGGGCCTCCGAGCCGGCCGGGCTCACACTCACTTTGTCGGTTGGCCTAAGGGCCCCAGTGGGGGGGTTGATGCCCTCCTCCGTAGGGGCGTGTGTGCCGGCTCCGCTGTCAGCTCAGTCAGTCGGCAGTGTGGCCAATCCCGGACCGCAGGAGCGCTGGTTGACCAGCCGGCTCCCTGGCCTGGGGGCTACGGCTGCTCCCCAGGGTCCCTGCCCAGCCCTGTGGCCAGGGAACCGGAATGGTGGGGCCTGGAGAGCACCGGGCAGGGTGGAGATGGAGAGGTACTTCTGGCTCAGGAAGGGCTCTCCCCTTCCCCTGGTCCCAGCCAGCTCCAGAGCAGGCCTCACCTTGCAGCAGGGCTTGCAGCCGAGATGCTGAACGGACAGGTGCAGGGCTGTTTTCCTTTCCTCTTTGCTTGCCTCTTACACTCTGGCTGTGCTGCTGGTGGGGGGGTGGCTGGGGAGGGATTTGGGAGCAGTGAATTCTAGCACACAAAGGGCAGAGGAGGGCCGAATGTGTTTTGTGTGGTTGCTGAGGAAACCAGACACTGGGCCCTGGCCTGGGACTCCTGGGCCTGATGTCCTCATGTGCGAACTGAAGGTGATGTCCCAGCCCTGCCTGTGGCATGGACTCTTGTGAGGACCCAGGTGTGTGTGTGTGTGTGTGTGTGTGTGTGTGTGTGTGTGTACAGACGCCTAGTTAGCATGTGCTTACACAGCAGGTATGGGCATCTGCCAGGTGTCAGGATTCCTGGCTGGGTCTGGTTTCAGTGTTACCTGTGACTTGCTCTGTGACTCTCAGTAAATCACTTTGCCTCTCTGAGCTCATTTATTTCATCTTGAAATGAAGATGCTGCCTGCCCTCTGGAAGGTACTTGGTAAAAACTGTTGAAGGCCTTCCTCAGAAGCTATGATCTGTCCACCCCTCCTCCATTCTCCTGTAGTGGCGTGTGAGGTCTTTTCACTGACTGGCCTCTGCCCACCTTATGGGGTGACAGCACCCCACTCCCCTCAGCCTTGTTGTTCCTGAACTTCCCTGCACCAGCCTAACCCCTCAATCTTCAGGTTGCCAGGCCTCCAGCATCCTCGCTGACCACTCCTGCTCTTTCTACAGCCTCTCTCCTCTCCCAGCCTAGATTGTTCTCTGTTACTTGTCCTTCCCCTCATCTAAAGGCAGAGACTAGGTCTCTTCTGTTGTTCACTGCTGTGCCCCCCGGCACTTAGCCCCAGTGCCTGGCTGGCTGTAGATAGGTATTTGTGGTGTCTCAGGCTGAGCACTGACTGGGACAGGGTCAGAGGCCGCGTTACGCTTGAAAGACTTCAGAAGCTGCAGGCCAGGACTGCCGGCCCGCTGAGACGCCCCTTGTGTTCTCTCTGCACAGAGGAGCAGGAGCGGCTCCGCTTGGAGCGGGACAGAGAGCAGGAGCAGAAGAAGGCCAGCAGCCTGGCCAGGCTGGCCCACGCCCTTCCTGTGGAGGAACCCCGCATTGAAGCACCACCCCTACCTCTGTCCCCCCCAGCACCCCCCCCAGCACCTCCACCCCCACTTGCCACCCCCACCCCACTGACTGTCATTCCTATTCCAGTAGTGACCAACTCTCCTCAGCCTCTGCCCCCGCCCCCACCACTGCCTCCTGCAGCCCAGCCTTTGCCCCTGGCGCCTCGCCAGCCAACCCTGGTTAGCACCCCTGGACTCAGCATTAAGGAGTCTGCTCCCTTGCCCACCAGGCCACAGGTGCCCAACCCTGCTCCCCTGCTGCCAGACTCCAAGACCACTGGCAGCCCCAAACCTTTGCAGCCCCTCCCCACACCCATCCTGACCATAGCACCTCACCCTGGAGTTCAGCCCCAGCTGGCCCCCCAGCAGCCACCCCCACCCACTCTTGGGACCCTGAAGTTGGCACCAGCCGAAGAAGTCAAATCCAGCGAACAGAAGAAGAGGCCTGGGGGGTGAGTGAGGTGTGGCCGAGTCCAGGCTGGTGGGATGGAGAGCTGCCCACACTCTGGGCTGTGTGTGCAAGAGAAAGTAGTCCCTCCTAAGCTCATCCTTCAAAGCCATGTCCTTTCTCTCCCACTGAGAAGCATCATACTATATTTGGACAGTTCTCACTGTGCCTATGTCCATTCCCCATTTCCTCTGTTGTTGTCAGGCTTCCGTGTTCTCTGACCCCCTCAAGGATGGGCCGATGGCATTGCCAGGCCTTTGGACAGAGTATTGGATTGGGGATCTCTTGGGTGAGGGCTGGGGTCAATTGGCTATTTCTGTGAGCCCCAGGAGGCCTTCTGTCTCCTCACAGGTGGACAAGGGCAGGATGGAGGATTAAAGGGATTGTGAATTATGAGCATACATGTGCCTTCCAGGGGGTATACGCGCCTCCGCACAGGGTGAATCTCTCCCATTGCTGCTTTGTACGGCGAATAAACCACCTGTGGCATTTGGGGAGTGGGGGCAGGAAGGCCACCTAATTGGGCCCTCCTCCCTGAACCTCCTTTCCTGTCCGTCTGGGTTTCAGGATCGGAACCAGAGAAGTCCACAACAAATTGGAGAAGAACAGGTGTGTGCGCGCGCGTGCGTGTGGGCCCGCCCCGCCCCCTACCGGGACTGGTCCCACCCTTGGTCCCCCAAGCTCTCCTGGGGCCTGCTCCCCCCCCCCCCCCCCCCCCCCCCCCCCCAGGCGCTGGCTAACCAGCGCCACTCCGTCTTCCCAGGAGGGCCCATCTGAAGGAATGCTTTGAGACCCTGAAGCGCAACATCCCCAACGTGGATGACAAGAAGACGTCGAATCTGAGTGTGCTGCGGACAGCGCTGCGGTACATCCAGGTATGGGGGAGGGAGGCACCGCCGAGAGGAGGGCGGGCGGTGGCCACAGCGCCAGCTTCCTCCCCACTCCCGCCCGCCCTCTTCCCCTCGCCGCGGCCCCGCCCCGCCCCGCCCTGCCCTCGCTCCCTCTCCGGCTCCCCCGCCCGCCTCCACGCGGGCGCTGAGCACATGGCCTGGTTGACGTCAGCGGGGCTCCCCGCCCGCCAGGGGGCGGGGGGACGGGCGCGCGTGCGCGGGGGAGGGCGGCCGCGGCGTTCCCCTCTCCCCCTTCGCCCGCCGGGCCGCCCCGCAGAGCCCCGCCATCTGCGCCGCCCCCGCAGCTCGGTCCCCCGGGGCCCGGGTCCGCGCTACCACCTTGCGTTGTTAATGCACCCGCGGGTGAGAAGGGCGTGGCGCGGCCCCGGCGCCTCCACCGCGCCCGCAGTGCCTGGGCGGGAACCCGGACTCGGCCCGAGAGTCTGTAGCTCGTGGTGGGGTGGGGAGTCGCCTGGGCGTGGCTCCCTGCAGACGGCGGCGCGCCGGTGAGGCCCCCCCCCCACTCTGACCCCAGAATGATTAAGAGCCTTCCAGTGAGAGCACTGAGGTGCCACGACTCGAGTTTGGGGGTTAAACCGGGGAAATGTGGTGGTCTGGGTGACCAAAATAGTCCTGGGGTCACCGAACCTTTCAAAAATTACGCTCTCTTGCCTGGGTTTTTAAAAGCCCCTTTTCAAGGGGCCCTCCTGGCCGTGTGTTCCTCTCCCTTTTGGGCACTGGCTTCCCTCCGCAGTACGGGGTGGGGGGCTCCCGCCAGATAAGACAGTTGCCATGACGGCCCCGTGTCTCGGTTTCCCTGGAAACCGGCCGAGGGTTCCGTGTGCCGGGAAAGAAGCTGTGGGGGTGGGGCGGGCGGCTACGCTCGGCTGCCGCGGAGACAGAGTCGGAACCGAGCCGTTGGGGAGTGGGAGGGACTTAGCGCTGCCTACCCGCGCGGGGTGGGGGCGGGGGAAGCTTGGGGTCCCCCTGTCCGCGCGCTTGGGCAGCTGTTGGGGGGGCGGGCAGCGACAAGGTCCCGCTGGGGTGGGGGTCAGGGAGGGTCCGACCGAAGTAGGAGCCAGAGGCATGGCCGTACCCCTCCCCCGGCCAAGACTGCGGGGTCACAGCCCTGAGGTAACCGGAGCCTGACTCGTTCGGGGGGGTGGAGGCGCTGCTACGCGACTGCTCCCAGCCGGCGGCTCCCCCCCCCTGCCTCCCGCGAACGCGCGCCCTTCCGCCCGCCCTGCGGGTGAGGGGGAGTGGCTGGCGCGCCTCCAGGCTGCTTCCCGGCACCCGAGAGGGGCGGAGCCGGGCTCGGGGATTGGCGGGGCCGGGTTGGGGGCGGGGCTTCCGCGCGCTGAGCGGTGGGGTGCCGCGGGCTGGGAGTGACGCTGCAAAGCCGGGTCCGCGTGGGTGCGCGCGTGCTCCGGGAGGGGCGGGGCCTCGCTTGCGGCAGGTCTGGCCTCGGAGGAGGAGGGGCCCGAGGGGTGGGGATTGGAGGGTCCCCGGGAGGCCTACTTCCTACATGTTTTTGTAGAACGTGATCTTGAGAATATTACTGGTTCTTCAGTTATTCCTAATCATATGGCCTAGGAGCAAATCCTTGTCAAGTGCTGTGACGTTCTCTTGACTATCAGTTTTTTTCTGTACTGCCACTTTGCTAAATAGGAAAGAAAAAGTATCTCCGTCATGGGGATGTTAGGAGGATGCATCCTCTATAAGTACCAACTTCATAGCAATTACTGAGACACAGGAAGGATGGAATAGCACATTCCACTTTATAGACACATACTTAGGAAGGGGAGCCTTGTTTGCGTGACAATTGAAAATAAATTGGAAATAGAGACTCAGTAGAACCAGCAGGCATGGGCCTGGGCTGAGTAGGCAGTTAGGATTACCCAGGCTGTTCCTAAGAGATATTTGTCCTGGGGCAGTGGAAGCAGAAATAGAATACTTAACAAGGCTTTCTAAATCCTTAACCTCACTCATATATTTATTCATTTAGGTACTTTGGACAGCTCTGTGTCGGACTCTGAGAATAAAGCAGGAAGCAAAGAAAAAAGCGTGGGTCTGTGTCTTCATAGGTTTGGTCTTGATGGCAGATTATAAACAAACAAAACAAAGGACTGTGCCATGAGGATGTAAAACGGTCCAGGATCACAGAATCTGTTCTAGGGAGTGAGGGAAGTTGTTGCTGAGGAAGGGGCATTCGAGCTGAGACCTGAAGGTTTCAGGGTGACCTAGGCAAAACAGAGGGCAGAAGGCCCAGCGCAGGCCAGTTTCTCCAACAGGGGGGAGCAGGAGGCAGTTTTGGAAGTTAAAGGTGGTCGTGAGGGTTGCCACGTGGAGATGGAGGCAGCAGGGCACTAGATGGGAGTCAAAAGGGAGTAGTAGAGAGACCACGTTAGCTCTGTAGACTGAAGGCTTTGGGTGTGTGCTGAGGTGGGAAGCTGTAGCCCCCAGGCAGACGCAGAGTGGCTAGGAGGTGCGAAAGGGTTTGAAGAAAGCCACAGTGAAGTGGACAAAAACAGGAAGAGGAGTAGGCAGGTAGCAAACTGTGCATCCAGGCAGTCTTAGGAAATGTGTTTAAAATGAAGCAATGTGGACAAAAATGAGACTCTGGGGAAACTTTCCAGTGGCCTCTGGGCCTGTGGAGAACTGGGCTCGTTAAGAAAAAGAGGTCTTGACCTCTGAGTTTCTCCCAGAGCCAGAAATCAACTCTCCTTGCTGGTGGGTAGAGTTCAGGATGGTCACTTCAAGCCCCCAGCAGCCAGGTTCAAGTGAGAGCTGACTCACCCTAGGCCCTATCATTGGTATGGCCTCATCTGATGTCATGTCCAGCAAACTGGCCTCTCAGGGTAGAGCCAGGTGAGAAGCCATCCCTGTGTGTGTGTGTGTGTGTGTGTGTGTGTATTTGCATGTGCCTCTTGTGTGTAACGGAGGGATCTTTCTGGCAGAACTGTGGCGAGAAGCAGGTTAAATCTCAAAAGCCAGGATGTAGGGGAGGCCATGTGTGGCCTGGGACTGCGGGCAGAATTGTAAAGCTACCAGGTTTCAGGCCAGAACAGAGTATGGTTGTATCTGGGTTATGTGTTGCAGGCACTAATGGTTTGAGGCATTTCTGAGTGGTGAGATCAGAAATACAAGGAGTTTGGGGCTCCCGGAGGGAGTGGGTGAAGTTGAGGATCTTGCCATACCCAGGAGGGGCGAGGGGCAAGTGAACAGTCAGTTAGGCTGCTGTGAGACTGCTTGTAGTAAATGGAATCGGGGCAAACTCAGTCCATGGGGTGACTGATTCCCTGTGACAGAGGGACAGGACAGAGGTGGGAATCCACATGCCCACATCCTGACAGATCCTTCCCCCAGGGCTAAGATACGCATAGTTCTGTCCTGGCCGCTGGTAGGTTTGAGGGGAAAAAGCTAATTATGGAATAGTCCTTGCCCTTACTCACTGCGTTTTACGGGGACTGTGTGTACTGAGGTGGGAAAACAAAACATGAAGTTTTTAGGGGTCATCTGAGCCAATGTCTGATTAAGTACTGATGGTCTTCTTAAGTGCTTGAGTGTGGGCTGCCGCGTCAGGAAGAGCTCAAGGGCCTGGGACAGGGAAGGGTGGTGGGAGCTCGGGTGTGGGCTTGGAACACAAGCAGATAAGATGCAGGGGGGGCGAGAAAGGAGGATCTGTGTGTGGGATGGGGTTCAGAGAGGAGAACCAAGACGAGCTGGAGAGTTTGGTGTGTGCAGGGTCCATGGGTTCTGCACCTGCCGGGACCGGCAAACCTTGGAAGCCAGGAGCTCAGGAGCAGCGCAGGTTCGGAGGTTTTGGGGTGCAGCAGGGCAAGCGTGTCCGTGTTCAGTGGCCCCAGCGCTCGTGACGTGCCTGGGCTAAGGAGAAGCTGGCAGCAGGGAGGTCTGCAAGACTTCGAGGAGTCCGTTTAATAGGGCGTCAGAGTCAGGAGGTCATGGAGGACACAAGCTGGCCTTTTGGAGCTGCAAATAAGTCCTGTGTGAGGGGAAACTGGAGACACTTCCGACAGGAGAGGCTCGGCTCATGGCCCCTGTGTGAGCACCCCCCACACGCACAGCTTCCTGTGGCCCGGACAGCCTTGGGCTCCGTGGCCAAGGGCACTCCCTCCTGGTGCTCTTAGTGAGGGGGGTGGCCTCAGAGTCACGGGGCAGGGCCAACCCGGAACCTGGGGTGAAGGACAGAAGTGTCTCTGGTGGTGCTCAGTGTCAGAGGTGATCAGAGCAGCTCAGCTACAGGTGTGGAAGGAGGGGGCATGGTCCAGGGCTGGGGGATCCGTCAGCAGCCTGGGGACTCTGGAGGGCGGCAGGCGGGGTGAAACCAGTGTTGGTGAGAGGCAGCGCAGGTAGGCACCTTGGGGAGCGGCCCAGGGCCGGGCGGAGGGTGCAGACCAGCAGCTGCCCGCGCCGAGCCAGACAGAGGCAGGTGGAGAAGAAATGTGGGGGGCGGGGGGGACTCCTCAGGGACACTGGAGGAGACTAGGGAATGATGCTGTGGAGAGAGGGGCAGGATCGTTGGGGGTTCTTTGGGGAATGAGTTCCAAGGAGGGTAGCTTGAGGCACGGTGACTGCGCTGTTTGAGTGTGCCGGGGGCCTTGAGCGGCCTTGAGCGAGAAGTGTTTCCCCTTCTGTCCTCCGCAGGATGGAGCAAAGAGGCTGCAGGGCAGGTGGATGGGGCCAGAGGCCAAGAAGCTCCTCCGGACAAAGTTGTTGTGGGTGGGGGCGGGGGAGGGCGTTCATCCCGGGGACGAGCTGACCTGCAGCTGTGCTTTCTGTCCGTGGTGCCTGCTGGAGAGCCCGCAGTGCACAGGCCGGGGGGCCTCGTGGGGCCCCGGGCGCGGACCAGGGGCGGGTGTGGTCTCCCGCAGCCCCCTCACTGCAGACCTGGCCCTGGGGGCTGAGTGGCCAGGAGACCAGCGTGGCCGTGGGGAGAGGTTTCCGTACTGGGGGCCCTCTAGCTCCTGCTCAGGGTATCCTTCGGGCCCTTGCCTTGTTCTCCAGTCTCTGAAGAGGAAGGAGAAGGAATATGAGCATGAGATGGAGCGCCTGGCTCGGGAGAAGATCGCCACACAGCAGCGGCTGACAGAGCTCAAGCATGAGCTGAGCCAGTGGATGGACGTGCTGGAGATCGACCGCGTGCTCCGGCAGACCGGCCAGCCCGAGGACGACCAGGCCTCCACCTCCACAGCCTCTGGTGAGCCCGCCCCTCCCTGGCCAGGCCCTCCCCGCCCCACCCCGCCCCCCGGCTCCACGCCCCCCAGACCCCAGGGGCATTTACTCCTCCAGCCTCGGGTTTCCCAAGCCCTTCTGACCTGTCCCTGTCCCCTGCCCCCCCACAGAGGGTGAGGACAACATAGACGAGGATATGGAGGAGGACCAGACCGGCCTGGGCCCACCTAAACTGAGCCATCGCCCCCACCCGGAGCTGCCGAAGCCACCGCCCAGCGCCGCCCCTGCGCCTCTGCCTCCCCATGCACACCCGCACTCCCAGCCTGTGGCCCTGTCCCCCGTCCCCCTGCCTGGGCAGCAGCCGCCAACACAGCAGAAGACCGCTCTGCCGGCCCCTCCTCCCCCACCGGCTGCCCCTGCGCAGACGCTGGTGCCGGCCCCAGCCCACCTGGTGGCAGCAGCTGGCGGGGGCTCCACGGTCATCGCCCACACAGCCACCACCCATGCCTCAGTCATCCAGACTGTGAACCACGTTCTCCAGGGCCCGGGCGGCAAGCACGTCGCCCACATTGCGCCCTCAGCCCCCAGCCCTGCTGTGCAGCTGGCGCCCGCCACGCCCCCCATCGGCCACATCACAGTGCACCCTGCCGCCCTCAACCACGTGGCCCACCTCGGCTCCCAGCTGCCCCTGTACCCGCAGCCCGTGGCGGTGAGCCAGCCCGTGGCGGTGAGCCACATTGCCCACACCCTCTCACACCAGCAAGTGAATGGCACAGCCGGGCTGGGGCCCCCAGCCACGGTCATGGCGAAGCCGGCCGTGGGGGCTCAGGTGGTGCACCACCCCCAGCTGGTGGGCCAGACAGTGCTCAACCCTGTGACCATGGTCACCATGCCCTCCTTCCCGGTCAGCACGCTCAAGCTGGCTTGAGGAGGAGGGCCACTCAGAGGCCCCCAGTGGGGGCAGGGAGGGGGAACCCGTCCCCCACTCTCTCCCACCCACCAGCTCCACACATTCCAGCCAGGCCGAGGCCCGCCGCACCCACCCCCACCCCCAGGCCTCTTAGGGGAAGGGGGTGCAGAGACTCTGAGCCAGGGGAGGGCGGGCCACCCCGGGGAGCTGGGCACGGGGCAGGGGGTCTGCCCTAGGACTTGAGCATGTGATGAGACACTCTGGTGAATGTGCCACTCGCCTGGCCTGGTGCCGGCTCCAGTGCCCTTCCTGCCTCCCCACCTTGTCTCCTGAAGCCCTGCGCCGTGGGTGTTGTGTTTTGCCGACCTCCCCGCCCTGCCTGCCTCCCAGTGCTGCCGCTGCTCGTGAGGGGGCCGTGGGCCCGGGGCCTCCGTCCAGAGCCTCAGCCTTCGCTTCCCAGGCCTTTCCGGGGCTGGGGTGGGGGGGGGGGAGCAGGCAGGGAGCAGAAGGAAAGCAACTTGGCCCAGAAAGCTGGGTGGGAGGGGGGCACTGCTCTGAGTGCAGGTGACAGATCCTAGGATGGGGCTGTGCTGCGGTCCCATCCAGGCAGGTGGGCCCCCCGGCTTAGGGCTCTCCGACCCAGCTGCGGTCACTGATTCGTTACCGCAGAAGCTAGTTAAGAGGAGTCGCTACCAACAACTACCCCATGCTGTTGCTAAGCTCCCTGAGGTCCCCCCGTCCCCGTCCTCGGTCCTTGCCACTGGGCTCCTGACCTCGGGAGGGTAGGCTGAGGGTGGGGGCTGGGAAGGAAGGGCTTGGCTGGCCTGTTGCCATGCTGGCCCTTCCCACCACTGGCCTGGGTCTGGGCTGAGGAGAGAGCTCTGGACCGCCTGGCCCCACCCCTGGGCCTGGCTTTTGGCTTCCCAAAGGCAAGAGGGGATGGGGTGCTGTCGCATCGGCCGCCCTGCTTCCCTGGCCTCTGCTCAGTGCTATGTGCTCCCCCGAGTGCCTCCTGTAGCCTCGAGCTGGCGTCTGGTCTGGGTTCTGGGAGCCTGAAGCCACACTGCTGAGGCCCTCAGGAAGTCAGAATCTGGGGTCTGGGCCAAATGCCCAGGGCCCTTTCCAGATGCCCTGGGCGGGGACCTGTAGAGCAGGGAGGAGGGCTGCTACTTCTGCCCCAACTAATCTGTCTCTGGCATCATCTCTGTCTTTCCCCTGAACATCCACTTTCCTCCAGTGCGCTCTTCTGAGTGTGCCACAACCTTCCTCTCAGGAAGGTCCTTCGTTGGATCTAGGGCAGGGCTGAGCTTGGGGTGGGGAGGAGTGAGGGGGCCTGTGTGCAGGGCCTGCTGCTTTCCCTGCCTCTGCCAACTGCTTTGGCTTCTCTTTTTATGTGGGTATTTATTACAAGTGGCCTTGTGTCAGACACACTCAGTTGTACACACATGCACACTCGCCTCCCCACCTGGACACACACAGTGGCCAGTGGCCTTTCAATGTGGGGAGGGGAAGCCAGTGTCCCCAGGTGTGACCTTTGCTTTGATAGGCAGGGGGAGTGACCTGCAGGGTACTGAGGAGGCTCACAAAGGTCTTGAACAGATTTGGACACCTCAGAACTCTGTTCTTTCCTAGTCCTGGAGACTTCCCCGGGGCCTGTTCTCCGTCTCACCTGGGGTGGGGAAAGGGAAGGCCTCTGGTCATCTAGAAGCCCCCAGGAGGGAGCCTCACACCCGCCCCAGCATAGCACTCCCCACCCCACCAGCTTGCTGCCTTCCTGCCCCTGCAGCCACCACCCGCCACCCTGGTTCTTGAGGAAACCAGCGCCTGCTCTTCCCCGAGAGATTACAACTGAGGGAGTCTGATGGGCCTGGTGCCCAGGGAACAGAGAAGCATTGGGGAACCTGCCCTTTCCAGCTCTGCTCACCTCGCATTCTGAGGCCATTCCGGAGTTGAAAGCGTGTCAGCCAGGGGCCTCTCGGGCCTGCACAGATACCTCATCCGCCCGCTCACCGCCCCCGCCCCTCCCCACCCCAGCAGTGGGGGCCTTTGAATCTAGTGCCGAATGACTATGTCCAGATTGGTGATGATGGGTGTTGTTGCTGTTGTTTTTGTTGTTGTTTGTGAACGCTGTGATGCTGTGTGCCCGAGAGGGCAGCCGCCGCCCAGCCCTCCCTTGGGCATCTATCTCCCCTCTGAGAGCTGTCAGGACCACATCTGTCCTCACCCTGTGGGACCGCCAGCCCCTCCCCCTCCCTAGCCCTTCCAGCCTGGGGGACGCGTGCGTGCACACACATACACACACACACACACCTTACCTCTCATGCGTGTTTTACTTTTTGATGTTAAGAGTGGCTCACTGGCTGGGAGCCTTTACCTCGGGGAGAGGGGGAGGTTGGTTCCTTGGGGGGCCAAAGAAGGGCAGGGAGTGCCTGGAGGGGAATGAGGGGTCATCATAACCCCTGCTCTCCAGGAACAGCTTCTCCCCCATCCCAGGGTTCCATCCCCACCCCCCAAAGAGGTGGCCCTTGTTTACAGTGAGGACTCGGTCACTGTGTCTCCGTTTCCTGAAATACAAACTGTAGCGACCCCAGACTGTAGAGATTTTTATGTGTTTGGATACATCTGCTGTGTGGGAAAAAAAAAAAAAAAAAAAACCCTACAAAAACCCTAATTTTGTACATATTGTATTTTTACTATTGAACTGTATTCTAGTGGCTGTTCATGCTCCAAGACTTTAGGTATTGAGACATGAATACTATCCATGTAATAAGCACTTGCCTGGAATAAAATATAAAACTGAAATAAACCTGCACTGAAACCAGAGATGGAGCCGCCAGGCTGCAGCATCCGGGTCACTCTGTTGCAACAGGAGGCCTCCACCTATCAGGAAAGACCTCCGGCAAGAAGCATCGGGGGCCTTACCTTGTCCTTTTGAGGGATGCGGGTTCCTCCAGCAGCTTTGGTGCTGGTCAATTTTAGAAGATTCGGGACCTTCCGGTTCTGATGCCAATGTTCAATCCTAAACAAGCTCTGAGAACGGCAGTTCTGGTCTTCCTTATTCTTTTGTAATACTTTCTACTTCCTCAAACCATTTTTACAAACACTATCTTGTTTCATCTCTTAACAGCATGGTGGAGTACATAAGCCAAGAACTAGCCCTGTTCTGGCAGGTAAGGAAACAGATTTGAGGTGGCCGAGTGACTTGTACAGTCACACAGGCTAGTAGCCTGGGAGCTTGGGGAGCTGCAATCAGATCTGACAACTACGGCAGAGTCCCCCAGCGTGTGTCACGAAGCCCTGGGGCCTGCCGCAGAGCTGGGGATCCTGACCTTGAGAAAGTTCCAATAGGAAAGGTGGAGAGGGAGCGCCCTGGATCGGTGCACAGAACGGGGAGAGGCTTCTTGAGAGGGGATGTGCTTCTGAGGTGGTAAGTCAGGCCAGGTCATCTGGGGAGTCCATGAGGGAAAGGAACAAGAGGAGGAAGAAGTCGGAGGTCAGTACTCAAAGAACCGGGTTCTAAGATGGGCCTGGAAGACCCTTGTCCTTATAACTACATCTCTCCCGGTTTAGGGGAAATCAGCCCTTTGCAGGCTGTCTCAGGAGGAAGTGGGGAGGTGAGGAAGAGGCTTAGCTATAACCCAGGCGCCGCCTTGTCCAACGCCCTGACCACACCTTCCCCACTCCCAGCCCCAGCCAGAGGAATGGACTCGACTTCTCTTCCTGGGAGGGATTATCCTTAGGGAAGGACGTGGTGGCCACGAATGTCTTGGGGTCCCCTTCTCTGAGGAAGCGCTAACTCAAGAAAGGCCAGACCCAAGTGCCCCTCCGCGGCCAGCCCCTTCACTTGTGAGATGCTGGCTCCCTCTGCTGGCAGCTCCAGGAAGAGCGGAGTCTCTCAGCTTTAGGGAAGGCCTAGGGTTAGGAGTCCCACTGTCTGGCACTGGGGACAAGGATGAAGCCTCTGCCCCTGACAGTGCTGACCCAGCATCACCTGAGGGCTATTGCTAGATCTTAAGGGTAGGCAGGAACTCCCCCAGCCCAGCTGGAGCCTGCCAGAGAGGGGCCTGTGATCAGAGTAACGAAAGTCCTGAGTAGGAATCCAGGTGCCTCTGTTTAGCAGCTCTGTGCGAGAGGGGCTTCCAGGGTTGGAGGGTCCCCGGGGGGGGGGAGTGTTCCTACTTGCACTTCGTGCTCCCCTTAATCTGCCTGTGGTGTTGCCCTCAGCAGACCGATCGCTGTGGCTGCAGGATTCCCTCTGGTCCTGGAAGCCCAGCTGAGGGGGTAGGGAGTGCTGACGATTGTGGGCCAAGAGGGAGCGGGGGGGGGGGGGGGGGGGGGAGTATAGAGGAACCGGGCCACTGCCAGGCTAGTTTAGCAGGGGCCTTGGTGAGCTTCTTTCAGGTGGAGTCACAGCACAGGAAATTCTGATTGTTCTAGGCAACAGGATGGGGGGGGTTGTGTGGGGGGGGTGCCTTGAGGAGCTTGTAAGGTTCCCTGGACCCAGATTTCCCCGTGTCAACCAGTTCTGTTGCTTTGGCAGCTCTGAGTTGCCCTAATGCCCAGAAAGCCCGTGTCTAGACCAGACCACATGCTGTGGCTGGAGAGCGCTCCACCTGGAGCCACTGACGATGGGGGGCCGTAGTCCTCTGGGGTGGGGGACGGCAGGTGGAAACCTGCTATTATGGCTGGGCCCTTTCCATGCCTCAGCCACCTTGGTCCCTCCTGACAGTGTCCTCACACCCCAGCCTGAAGCAGGCAGCCTGGAGGGCTCCGTGGGAGCCAGGAACCAGAGCCAGAGGGGCAGGGTTCTTCCCCACTGGCTGGAGGGCCCAGGACGCTCCTACAGATTCCCATTCAAGCACCAACTCATCATTGTAGCTGGTCAAGAGGGCAGGCAGGTTGGGGAAAGGGTGGGACAGGGACCTAGGTCCGGAGGCCGGACAGGTCATTGGTCGGTCTGGGACAGGACCCCTGGCTTGAGGTGAGGCCCCCCCCGCCCCACTGAGTACTCAGGGTCCTGCTGTCACACCTGCCCCTGGCCAGCCCACAGCAGAGGTCCCTCTCTCCTGGAAACTTTGGTTCTCTGTTCTCACCAACCTTGTCTTGCGGGGCTGGCCCTCCTTACAGCTCAATTGTGGAGCTTCTAGAATTTCCCAATACACAAAGTCACTCCCTGTCCAGTGCCAGCCCACAAGCAGGCCCCAGAGCCTCAGGCATTGCCAAATGCTGGGTTTATTGGTCTGTTAACACTGAAGAGTATAGTTTCTGAGCCAAAAAAACATACACACTCTGCTTCTCACAAAACCACTGAATCACTAAGGCAGGCACACAATGGCCACCATGCTTGGTGGCAGCCAAGGACTCACGGACAACAGGGGTAGGCAATGGGGCGGCTGGCCCCCAGACTGGCTGTGCAGTGCCCAGGAGAGGGGTGGGCTGGGGAGACTGTGCTGGATGCAGAAGGGCCACGGGGCCCTTTCCCGGCTTCTCAGATGCAGGGAGTCTCCAGACCGAAGGGACGGCTGCACAGGCCCTGGCCCCTGTGGCAGAGTGGCCTCCTCGCCCCAGGGCAAAGCCCCGGCCTCAGGTGTTTAGGGGCGGAGGGGGTGTGGGGACGGCACAGCAAGCAGCGCGCTAGGAGCTAGGCCTTTCCCAGCACCCCTGGGTGAGGCTCCTCCAAGGGCGCTTCTGGGCCTCTTGGCCTCTCCGGAGGCACCCTCAGCAGCCCGTGGCCGGCAGAGCTAGCCTTGCTTCTCACCAGGGACAAACAGGGGAGACCCAGGCATCCTCCCCTGCCCCCAGACCCAGGGCCTCAGCAGGTGCCTGAGATGGGCAATGGGCTGTCCCGAAGCGCAGGGCCTGTCCCTGAGAGGAGGCTGTGAGAGGGTTTCTTCCCCGCTCAAGAGCCCCCCTGGGATTCCTCTGCAGCGAGAAATGCCCCCACCGCGCTCCAGATCACCCAGCGGGCAAAAGCGTCACTTACACAGTTGTCAGGGAAGGGACTAATGCATAAAGCGAGAGCCAGGCGGTGAGAGGGGACCCGTGCAGGTGCACGTGGGTGCCCTGGGCGGGCCGGGCCGGGCTCACCGCGGGCGGCCAGAGGCAGTAGCAGCGCCGCTGAGGTGGGCTGCTCCTGCACCCGTTCTGGCTGCCCCCACGGGGGCTGCGCTGGGCACAGGCATGCCGCCTGCCAAGGGACTCGAAGAAGAGGTACAGCACGGAGTCCGCTGGCTCACATGACCCGCGCCGGCTGGGGCCAGGCAGCTCCAGCCCTGTTAACTCTCCTAGGAGAGGCCGAGGCTACAGGTGACAGGGGGTTATTCCCAGGTGTTGGAGACGGGAGCAGAGTAGGTGTCCCCCAAGGCAGCCGCTCCCTGAGGCCAACCCACCCCCTCCCTACCCCTCCCCGGCCTGAGGCATCCAGGCCCCTGACTCGCCCCCCTCGCAGGGCCAGCACTGCCCGGAGTCGGATCTCAGGCTCACAAGCACTTTGTTAGGAACTCAGGTGGGCAGGCGGGGCCGGCTGGGGGTCGGGCAGCCTCAGCAGCGCTGCCCTGCACCTCTCCCTGTGCGGCCCGGGGGCCTGGAGCCCAGGCCCTAGTTGGCCGCAGCTTCCCGGCCGCAGCCCTCACTTGTTCTCTATGAGCATCTGCACCTTGTGGACGAGCTCCCGGGCAATCTGCAGGATCTCCTGGGCATCGTGATGCTCAGCCCGTTCTGGGGGAAACACACAGACCCTGTGGGGTTGCTGGAGTGGGGGCCGGAGTCTGGGAGGAGCCCGTGGCTGCCCACCCTGCTGTTTCCACCTGCTTCCAGGGAAGGGAGCCCCTCCAACCCTGCCCAGGCCAGGAGTGGAGGCCCCCATGCCGCTGCTGGGGGCAGCCCGGATGGCCGGAGCAGCTCCTACCGTTGAAGAACTTGATGATATCGGTGAAGTCCATGTTGTTGTCCCGGATAATCTCACGGTAGGCCTCCACCAGGGCCAGGGCGATGAATAGGACAAAGTGCTCTGACGAGATGTGCCGGGCCGCCCAGATCACCTCCCACACGGCAAACACATCCTCATAGAGCAGCTCTGGGAATTGCAAGGGGCTAAGGCTGAGCCTGGCTCCCCACGGGTCTCTAGATGGAGCCAAAGGTGGAGACAGAGCTCCAGGGACCCCAGTCCTGGGATTCTCCCCATTACACAGAGCCTAGTCCAAGAGCCTCCTCCGGGCCCCAGGTCAAGACCCTGCCCTTCTCCTAGGTGACTGACTCCTTGCACACCGGGCTCGGGCTGACTTCACACTTGCACTCTTGTCAGCTGGAGCACCTCTACTTGTACAGGCTTTGCTGCTTGAGAAGATTTGGTTTGAAAACAGTTCCCAAAACCACTGGCTTAGGGTGATTGTTGGCAGCACTTGGGAGTCACCGAAGGAGCTTTTAAAATTGTGATTGCCCAGGCAGCCGAGCTTCCTACGTCTGGGGCTAGGTGGGGCCAAGGCACTGGCATTTCTAAAAGGCTCCCCAGGTGGTTCCAAAGTGCAGTTAGGGTTAGGAACCACTGACTCTGGCCGGGAAGGATCTCCCATGCCCTGACTACTAACCCACACCGCTTACCTCTTTTAAAATCCAGCAAGAACCAGCGGTAACAGAAGTAAAAGTGGGTGTAGTCTCCATTCTGATGCATCAGCTCGAACAGCTCTGAGTCCAGGATCTTACAGAAGTAAAGAAAGGGAGCGGGACTGAGCGCCGCTGCCTCTCCCGGCTGCCGTCCTTGCGCTCGACCGGGCCCCTTGGCTGCTCGGGCCGCCTGCCATCGCTCCCAAGCCCCTCTAGTCTCC